CAAAATAACCTTAATATAACGAATGTCAAAATGATTGTAAACGCGACCAATTTAAGATATACGATCAAGAGGAAACACGAACGATGTATGAAAAAATCAAACAAATTTATTTAATAAAACAAAATTTACAAAAATTTTTTTTTTGCATGTAATAAAATTCCATTATTAACTAATAACAATCTAATTATATAGATCTTGACTGATCAAACCCGCCTATATAGTTATTGAATAATTGTTAATAATAAAATGCTAATTAAATATATTTTACAAAAAGCTTCGTGGATCTCGACTTTAAGACTTACTTTGATCAAACCCGCCTATAATAATAAACGTTCATTTTGGAAACTTTATTTGCAAATAGATCTTGACTTTAACACTCACTTCTACCAAGCCCGCCTATATAATTATTTGAATAATTGATAAAGCGAAATCGAGTGGACCTACCCAAGGGTTGAAAAGACCAACAACAACGATGATAAGAAATCCCCACGCAAAGCATTAAAATCCAAACATCAGGATTTTGAGGAACACTTTATGAGTTCCAACAGCAAGAATTCCAGACCATGACTCACAGGAAGAATCAAGCACATCAAGAGCAACGAAATTGACACATACAATGAATGAAGTTGTCAGCAACATTAAAGGTTATACAGATGCAGTAGAAATTTCGTACAACATTTGAAAATAATAATGAAAATGAAACAGTGGTAAACGACAACGGTGATGAGAGTTGTGACACTGAATAATTTTTATTATTCTTTGTATTTTTTTTTTTCGCAATAAAAATTACGTGGATCAATTTTTTTTTTCAGAAAAATAAAAATAAAAATAAAAATAAAAAATTCACCACTCAGCGAAAGCAAAAAATTTCTTCCCAAAAATTTAGGTTTAAAAAACAAAGATTTTTCGGTTTCAATTGCAATTGCAACGCATTGCTTTGCAATTCAATCCAACGCAACTCAATTTCAATGCAATTTCAACCTGTTTTATAAAACAATACATTTGCCATACGACACAATTTTTGCTAAATATGGTGAAAAAGTTATCGCGCCAAAAACCAAAAAGACCAGACGCAAAAGAAGACAATCGGCGAGAAAACTGCACGAAAGTCGCACAACTTGCGAGTTTTGGAAGGAGATACAGTGCGGATCATCTATACTCAAAAGTTAAAATTTTTGAAATATTATGTGATCCACACATTGGATTTTTAAAAA